GTTTTGTTGGCACATGTGCTCCCTCACTAAACATTGGTGCAAACCAAGTAATCACCCACCTCCACACCACAGCTGCATTCTGAGACCCCACTAGAACTTGAACACAAAAGCAGTGTGATCCAGCTCATTGCCCAGGAATGACTTGAGGAACACATGACACTGATTATACAGATCTGACTGAGCATCTACAGGATGTGTCAGAGCAGAAGCCCACCTCACGACCACAGGACCCAATAGATCAACTGTCCCAATGCCAGACACCACAGGACACCCTTCGAGCTCGTGGGAATGAGAACTTTTCCCCCTTTCTCTGGACCTAAGCTTGAAATCAGCAGCCACTTCAAGAATGTCCACTCCTGGTTGTCAAGTAAAGAAAAGGGGGAAAAAAGACTTCTGTACACACCCATGCACAGAAAGCAGTGTATCACTGCCAAGATTATACTGAAATCAAATGTTCTATTTGCTACTCACCCCGAGGGTACACACCTCCTACTGCAGAAATAAAACAGTAATAAAAGCCAACATGCTGCTTTACTCACAAGGACAGTGCAAGAAATGTTAGTACAGATTGAGGCTCAGGCTGCACAGTGATGCATCTTCACCTCAAGTGCATCCACCTTATTTTCAATTAATGTTTTTCTTTTTTTTTGAGACAGTGAAAAATAAAATAGAAGAAAAAGTAGCCTTTAGAAAGCTCATTAATCATGGTTTAAAACAAAGACAAGACGAGATGGGGGTGGAGTTGAGGAGACTTTGCCAAGCCTTCACCTTCTCCATCCATTGTAATAGGATAAAGGGTGGGTCTCTATGGTCCACATGGAAATGAGAAGACTGACTTGTGCAAAAAAAACAAAACAAAACAAGGCCCCAAAAAAAAAAAAGTCAAAAAATTTTTAAAAAACGCAAAAGAAAAAAAAAAGCGAAAAAAAAAAAGAAAAAAGGGGGGAAAGGGGGGTACTTACGCACCACACTGAGTATCAGTCTTACCTGGATGAGTGATTCACTCAGTCTCTCCTCGTCTACCTGGAGCACAATGTCCCGGATCTCTTCATAAGGCAGGCGGAACGAGCCCAAGAAAATTGCTGTTGTGATGTAGACAGAAAAGAGTCATTTCCTCTCCCTTTTTTATTAGACTGCAGGCTTCAAAGAGACATTTCAGCACAAAATGACCACAGACCGAACTTTCCACTTGGAAAAACTAATGCATTTTAAGCCTTTCGACTGGATCGTCTGTGTCACAAAAGCTGGACAGGAAAGAAAAATCAAGATTTAACAATAACACGTAAAACAGTGACAGGTAATAATAACGATACTAATAATGAGAATATTTTGAATTAGCTGCAGGAGTGTTTGTGTCATGTGAACAGCTACATGCTTTTGTAAGGGTGGATACAAAGGTGCCCAGTGAATTTGCCTCGGGGCAAAGCCTCATGGCTGTTTCACACTCCAGGTGGGGTGGCTACATTGAAAAGTGGAGCTGACGGTGTATCCAGGTGGAAGTCACACATGGAGGTTTGGTAATGAGTTGGAGGAGAGTCACTCAACAGCTGCTTAACTACTGAAGCACTGGGACCTGATGTCTGCATGTGACGTGCAACAGAGAAGGAGTGCGGCCTTTTTTCAGCTCTTCATAGTCTGCTGCTACTTAATATACAGAGTATTTACTGCATTTAAGTCAGTCATAGCAAAACACGCCGTTGCTTTCACTTTGATTTACGATATAGTGTTGTAGAGCTTCAGTCCCATAACATCTAGCATCATTTTCTGGTTTCACTACATAATAGACCTACCTTTCCTCAGTTCAACATTTTTTGTCAAATAAAGCACATTGTCTTTGCTTCGTATTGTCTCTTCAATAGACAGCTGGATATTCAGTACTGAGTTCTCTTCAAAGGTCATATGTATTGGATACTAGGACATGTTGGAGATTCAAAGTGAGGGAAATGTAGATGGGAAGGCAAAAAAAAAAAAAAGTTCCAGGCTGAAAATCCAACATTTGGTGCTATCAGCTTGCACCTGGCTCTTATTTCCTGTGATGGTGTAGGTGTAGGTGTGTTGATGAGATTCAGCAGCACAATGCCGTTTTGGTGCACAATTTAGCAGAAAATTGCACCTGCACATTTACCCATGAGGATTAGTATGTACGTGTTTTTCCAGGTGCTCTGAGGTGTACTTTTGGTTTTAGTTTGTATACAAAGGAGCTTTGCATTACTGCATTACTGATATAGGAATCAAACATCTGATTCTCATGTTCCATTTTCTGTACTGTTGACAAGGGATAGGAAGTGATACTATAAGTGATACAACATCTATAGAGATACAACAGCAAATGTAGTAGACCACGCAATGTAAGGTTTATGGCATAGCTGCTCTAAATGAATAGCATTGGTAATTATCAAAATCATTTTATGTTTCTGTAATGGTTAATCTGCCAGCATGTGGAAGCACTTTAATCGACATGACATTTTTAATGCTGTGATATAATTACTGTTGTTATCCATGAATTTTCAAATGTACTGTTTTTCAAAAAAAAAAGTATAAAAAAGGGTAACACACTTTTTTTTTTTTAAATTAAGGCGTCAAATTGCAGTTATTTACTTTCCTGAATAGAAAAAAATAGTTTGAATAGTTGAACGTTACGCTCGCTGAATTAATTTGAGCAATATAAACATGAATTCTGTTTATTTGTCTAATAAGTAACAATATGATTTTTAGCTTTAAACTCATTTTTGACAGATTTTTAAAATATCTGTGTTTTCTTGGTTTTTATGAAAGGTGGTCTAATAAATTTATTAAGTATCGTAGCTCTATGCTGAGTTACACAAAATGCTTTTTTTCAGTCCTTTTTCAGGGTTTGTATCTCTCCTCTCACAGCACTCTCTCACTTAGACAGACCCCACCTCTAAGTGTCCCTCTGGACTTAAATCTCTCAACTCTCTTCTGCAGCAAGAATAGAGACAAAGTGCACATGAAGATGTTAAAATTGCATGTATAGTAAAAAGCAGTAGTGAATATAGCACACCAGACTCTGACGAAAGCAGACAAAACTTAAATATCTCCAATGGAAGTGAAAACAGGTGCATGCTCTCCTGCAAGTTTACTTTTTGAAATGCGTTGGAATTCTGTATGTGCATAAATTATTTTTGTTAGTTTTGGGGGAAAAAAGTGGAAACAATTGGTTTTCAATGGTTTCTAGTTCTAAGCAGAACTGCAGGAACTCTTCACTGAGAAACCAGTTGGCTACAAGTTGAACAGCCACAAGGGGCAGTACCCTTGTGGCTGCTATACCACAATACATAACATGGTATTTACATTACAATCACTCATACTATCCAACTACCTACATATCTCAGTCACCGGACCTTCAAAACTACTAAACATCAAAACTGTAAAGGGAACTTAGACGGTTCAGAGGCACGCACAGAATATGATCTATGATGCTGTAGTATGTGTCAGCGCGGCTCATGAGAGCTGCATAACTGAGTAAAACAACATGCTTCCAACCCATTTCCTTCCTGAAGGTGAGGTTTTCCACACTCTTATTTTTGCCTCCTGTCAAATTCAAAGCCCATCTGCTTGTTATATAATAAAAGATGGCAGTGACACCTATCATATCAACATGGTCACAGCCCAAACAAGGATGCAATGACAGAATCATACAAATGCAGCAAACAGGCTTCTGTGTTTCAAACTTGTGCTCAATATTTAGCAAATTTAAGTCATTTATCACATCTCTATTCATGGAATATGTCATCACTTGTTTACAATTCTCACCTTTTCTGCTTAAATAACAATGGTGTAAAAGACACATGTACCCAAATGAGTGGACTGCAATCTAAACATCAATCCATTTTTTTAACCACTTGTATTTCATCATGGGACTGGAGCCTATTTTGAGAGTTATGGGGCAAAAGGCAGGATACACACTGGATTGATTGCTAGTCATACAATTCATTCACACTCACATTCACACCTACGGCCTAACACACATGTTTCGGAGTACCTAGAGAGAGCCTACGCAAGCAAGCGCCAACTGACTGGCATAATCTTAACATGTGACATTCATATTTGTTGAGGTGTTATGATCTATATTGTCACTCTGAGCTATATTATACCAAATCTTTCAGACAGGCAGATATGCTAACAAGCACACAGACTATTTAAGAAGAAGGAGTGGGAGTTCTGTCTGTTTTTTCTAGATCATTTGCATGTTAACTGAAGAGCAAAATAAAAAGAAGCCTGGAAGGTGAGTTAACACACCTGTACTAGGTAAACAGGCTACTCACGGCCACAAGTGATTTTAAACACCTACATGTAATTTTAGTATTCAGTTCTAACAAAAATGTGCTTTACTAATCAAACGGCTTGGACACAAATAAAACACTACATACCAATTAAAAAAACTCAACAAAACACCATCCTTACTGAGGAGGAACATTCAGTTATGGTTCATTTCTGTAGGACAAATAACTGCATCTACTTACAAAGATTCTGTGCAGTCTTGGCATCCAAGATACGAAGCTCTTTTGCCTTTTTCTTAAATTGTGGCACTTTTTCTTCATTTTCATCCTTCAGGTCTTTTCTTGCTGCAAGAAAAAAAAAAGAAATATTACATATGTAGATATATAGATAGATAACATAAGAAATACTCAGACATTTTGGGGACAAGAGCATACTATTAACCTAAATTTTGAAGCTAACTGCTATCACCATTATCTAAAAGCAAGAATTAAATGACATTAAACAACATTTTTCCACCATTTCTCAAAACATAGAAAAATAATTAATGTACATACATCAGAATCTCAATGCATATTAAAAGTTAAGCGTACAGGACAACATGCGTTAGATGCCAACAGATGGCATAAACCAATTAAAAACCATTGCTTCAGTACACGGAAAGCAGCATTTTGGTCCTGCATCTTTTTTCTCTAGACAAAAGGCAAAAGCAAATCAGCTACTGCTGAAACATTTGGCAGGTAATCTAACTGATTAGCCTGTGATGTATTCTACACTTAATGTGATAATCTAAAATTAAAAAAAATGTTCACAAATGTGCGTGGTTTTGCCATTTTAGAAACATAAGCAGCAATACATGGAAACTCTACAGTGGAACTGATTTGAATGCTTTGCTTTCTGCATATGTCATATAAGGTTGGTGATAGGCAGAACTGATTGATGTTAGCAACCTTAAACATAAAAGTGAAACTACATAATATGCAATTTAATCATCTGTAGCATCAGAGGAAAGTCTTGCAGACAACTTTCCTATCTTCATTTGCATGTGCCAACACTTTTGTCATTGTGACAGTGGGTAGATGGTTGATAAGCACCGCTCCTTCCCTTAGGCCCTGCCTGTTAACTTCCTACAGCCAGGAAGATAATTGTGTTAGCCCCCACAAATCCCCAAAAATGGTATTAAGTCTGTGACTGAACACAATAGACGAATTTGTCTAAGAATGAAGAGACCCTATGTTTTCATAATGGACAGATTATTGAGTCTGCACACTGGGGAAACACCACAATAACAGTACTGCAGTAACACCCAATTTGTCTAAAAACATGCGTGCCTGCAGGGGACAGAATTATACACATGCTACCCTTTTTCTATTTTGTTTGGCAAAATAAACTCTTTAAATGTCATGATGAATTATTTTTATGAATTCATCACCTGCTGGACTTTAAATGCTCAGATGTGTTTCAGAAAGAAGAAATCTGCTCATGATCAAAGCATTTTAACCTCCTAGGACCTGCCGTCAGTGTTGCCAACTCCTCAGTAAGGAAAATCGCTATTGGTTGTCCTAAAAGTCGCTAGAAGTCGCTAAATGACGTCATCACCTAATTTGCATAATTGGTCATGCTAATATAATTGTAACCTACGCTGTTGGAGAGAGAAATAACATCGTGGAAGAGACATAAAGTGAGTAAAAAATGTCCTAAATGCATTTAGAATTTATTTAGAACTACAAATTAAATTTCTTTTAGCAATTATTGTTTTTTAATGTCACAATTCCAACCCTGCTCCTTTACCCGGGCTTCGACCGGCAAAAGTGACCCGAAATTGGCACTCTGGTGGAGTTACTTTGTGTGTGTGTTTATAGGTAGTTTTAAACTTTGTGATCCACAAAACAGCATCACAGTGAAAGAAGAACTGACTGCGTTACAGTCCGCCCGTGAACGCTTTAGCACGGGTGAGGTGCCCACGGCAGCACCGCTGCTTGTTGAGAGTAAGAGCAACACGCTCTTTCACGTCAAAAAGTCGTCATAATAAGTCTCCAGTAACACCAGAAAAAGTCGCCAGATTTGTCGCTAGTCGCTCTTTAGAAAAAAAAGTCGCTAAGGGGCCTGAAAACTCGCTAAATATAGCGACAAAGTCACATTTTGGGTTATTTAGACCAAAATACTCAATTTTGCTCTACATGGGCCTGATATCCACTTACGAGGACATTATACTGCTACTGTTCTATCAAAATGTTAAATGAATATCCTCTTATTTTTCTTAAAAACAAAAATAAGGTAAAAAATCTGGTAATTCTTTGTTTTTACATTAATCGGGCCCCAATATGACCAAATATCAAAGAGAAATTAAAAATGCATGTCGTGGAAGAGTTCGGGTCTTAGGAGGTTAATGTTTGTCTCAACTATGTTATTGAAGCTGGGGGAAAATAGCATAACGGTAGACAGCACTATCACAATTATCAAATGTCCAAAAAGTCCAAAATAATAAGACCATTACCTAATAACTGGCTGTGAGATTTCACAGAGAATGTGCTCATACTGAACGTAATTCTACTTTATTCATACAAAACAAGCCTCTGTGGTGGAATTCAGGCGACTGTCAGACAACTTTAACACCTGTGTCCACCTCAATCTGTTCAACTGTAATTACAGTACAGCAGAGATTTCAGAATAAAAATGCAGCAACATGAGAAAGAAGCTTTCTTAGATCCTTCGCTCTCCCCCAGTGGTTTATGAGAGGCAGCACACTTTGTTGCTAATCATCACAACTGCTCAGTTTAAGCCCAAGGTGGGAGTCTCCCAGGAAATCTAGAACAAACAATCTGCTCCCTCAGCGCGGGCTTGCATATTTGAAGAAAGAATCAAAGAAGCAACATCTCCTGGGCAGCCAGAAGAAGGAACGCTAAAGGCACCTGCCTAACTCAAGTGCTTTCAAGGACGCACATGACATTTGGGATGCAGTTGTTTACTATTGGTAAAACGCTGTAACTATAATACAAATGCTACACAAAGTATTATGGTTTGATTTTCTGTCAAAATAATAGCATGATCCTTCAGGAGGCTGCAGGACACAGCACTTTAACTTGCAATATAATACACGAGTGTGCACATGCCAACAGAAAGGGTGAGACGTGGGACTTGAGGATTCATAAATGCATTTAGGAAGAGGATGTTAGCCAATTCATTAGTGGCTGTGTTTTAAGAGTTTTACACAAGGCACAACCCTCATACATACTTGCAATTAAGTTAATGTCATAAGAGAAAATCCCACTTTATTTCAATATTTTAATGGATAGTGTTTTAGTTTAATCTTTGCCAGGAAGGTACCTTTATTAACAATTACAAGTAATTAGGAAGAACGCAATAGCACTACTGAAAAAGCCAAAAGTAATAAATGACTGTTCTACAAAGTAATTAAATAACTAAATTATTTTTATTTTACAGTACTACTGTACACTGTGTACTAGTAACTAAAAATAATTAATAATATCCATCCATCTCTCTCATGTCATGCCAGAACATCTGAATTCCTCAAAGAAAACAGACGCAAAAAAAATATTAATGAGTTAAAAAACAACAAATCCAATATACAGTGCAGGGCCAGTAACCAACAAAGAAATCATCCTTCATTTCCTATGTGGCACGAACAAAGGATCTGAGGAGGAGGAAATAAATAAATAAATGAAAATACGAGGAAACAATGCCCCACAGACAGAGTGCAAACGGAGCCATGAGGAGGCTGCTTTTTGGCACCAAAGTGTTCTTTTCAACCTCCATATTTTCCACACGGCCTCTTGAATCTCTCATTTCAGTACCTCAAATTCTCAACGAGGAGATCCCGGCCATTTTGGTCAGTGGCTTAGCTGTCTTTACCCTAGTCCCAAGGGCCTTGTGCTATATCGAATTAAACATAAAAACAGCGCCCTCTATAATATGAAACAGGCATGTATTTTTCTCTAAAACCATCTATACAGCTCAGAGCTCTCCCACTGGGCACTGAGTAGTGGCATCACTAGGCTGATTTCTGCAACAGTATTTGCTGGCTGACTCAATTATGCCACATGTCACATGTTTCCTCTGGGCACTGCATGTGGACTGATGGGCCCTGGAGGGCTTGCACACATTCAAGCTGCCACACTAGTTGGAGTCCCAGGTGTGTGGGGAGGATGACTATAGGTGGCATATAACCAGATGGTTGGCCGCAACAATAAAGAAGTTCTGTACATGTGTTCAAAACACAGGAGCTGTCAGATAGTTACTAAATATTCCAAACTCCACATGGCTTGAGACAAAGTTACATTTTGACAAAAGTTTTACTTTTTATTTCCACCAAAATCCAACTTGGGGAATGTGTGTGACTCCTTTTCTGCCAAGAAAGCTTAACCTGCATAACTGTGTAGGGCCACAGCAGCTGATCAAACTCTGTGTCAATATTTAGACGTGTTTTATTACTTGCCCAGTGGCTAAAATGTAATACTTTGACAACAATGACATCTTTCATGCACACAGTTATATTTGTTACTGGAATCTTTCAAGCAATCATGCAGCGAAGCACCATTTGTGGCGGGAACAATGTTGGAGGTTTCTTGGCAGCTTGTTGGTTTCCTCGCTTCTGTGTACAATGGAGTCCGACCACATAGATACATTATTTCTGCGTCAGGCAGTCAGATGAAAACTTAGTGATAACAGAATTCTAATTAAAAGCTAATATAATCATGTACCGTAATTGTCGGGCTATAAGC